CCTAAATTTATTTTTTAGAGTTATAAACATCAAGCATTACTAAAAAATGTCGATTTTTAGTTGAACTATGCATTGAAAGACACTGCATTCAATAAATTGGTAAACAATAATATTTTTCGAATGTTCAATCGAACGTAGAAACCTTTTGCTTTTGAGAGCGGGGAATGTTAAATATCTTAACACTCCCTCCTTTATCGACGTTCAGTCTGTGTTCAAAAACTTCTGGGCAGTAACCTAGAAGATTTTTTGTGCATACAATTATTTTAGTAATTAACAATATTACAATTATTTTAATAATTAACAATAATTTTCAGTGTGGAATTTATAAATTATAGACGTGGAATTAAACTATAGCGCTTAAATTTAACTTAGACTTAGAATCATTTGCCTCACCATATGATCACTCGTCAGTTTAATAAAACACTTTAGCATGGAAAGAAGTATGGCTATTGTTTTGTTTGCGTTTGATGGGCCGGTCGCACATAGAATATCTTATCGAGATTTTTGATTTTGACATGTTTATCAGAAAAAACCCCAAGAAACATTGTCCATATAACAATTAATGTTTCAACAAGTGTCTTGTGTTTGTTGCAACTCCCTCTGCGTCTCTGAGATTCTCGTTTTGTAAGGAATAAAAAAGTGTGCGTTCGGCCACCATCAATTAAAATTTATAACAGAACGCTGCATTTTTGAGAAATTTCTGATAGAAGTAAAAGGGAGGAGAACATTTCTGCTCTTAAAGCTTTTACCGGGTTAAAAAATATTTATCAGCATTGGTTACTCCGCCAAAAAAACTGGAATAATGAAGTTTCATTTTATTAAAATCTGTGGATCTGTATTTGTGACGGTGATGGCAATTTAAATACAAAGAATGCTGGTTATAGATAAAATTATTTTTAGAGTTCACGAAAATAAAAAAAAATGTTTTTAAACCAACCGGTACGATGATTTCCGCATTGCACCGTCTTCAACGTGCAAATAGCAGCCAGGCAGTAAATGAAGTAAGACATCTTGAAAAGGTTGCTTACCAACTAGCAAAGCAAATGCACATATGGTGTTAAGCAGCTGGTTATAAATGAAATTTTTCAGTGCTGTGCTGTTTTTTTCCATTAAACGATTACTCTACTTGCTGAAAAAGACAACATTCATAACCTGAAACACGAGGGATGATTCTAACAGCTAAGAGCAGCTGATGGATAGACAACACCGGTCTAAGAAAAATTTTTTTAAACTGTCCGGATAGAGAATTTTTTTTTTAAATTTATTTTAAGGTGCAAATAAGATAAAAATAAAAACGTTTTAAACTTTTTGACTCTTATCGGTTCGTCATTTTTCAGTGAATCAAACTGAATCGACCGGAACCTGCTACTACTTAAGAGAAACCAAGTGTAAATTACAATGTATAAATTTTTCCTCTCGGGAAAAATTTATACATTGTAAAATTTTTCACCCCCCCCCGTCAAAGTTGTCCAGATCCGCCGCTGATAAGCAGTACTCACATCGTTTTGCCCATGATTCAAAGGGATCTGGAAAAGATAACCTGTAAAAAATTTCAATTGGCCACAGTGGCTCCGCACACATAGTCTTTAACTTTATATAACTCCAAGGTGACGGAACCAAAATCAGACAGGCGTTTGATGGGTTGGTGGCACATAGAAAACCTTATTGAAATTTTTGACACGTTTAGCATTTGTTGGTGCCAACTGGCAAATAACGACACGTGAGATCGTGGAGCGGTTAAATTTTTCAACTGTTTATGACCACATTGGAAGGTCTGGGTTTAACCTCGAAGCTCGATATATGAGTTCCACATGTCCTCACGGAGAGAAATTTGTGTCGTCGTGTTGACGTCTGTGCTTTACTCCTCAAACCTCATGAAAATGAACCATTTTTGAAGCGCATAATTACAGAAGACCTTCAAAGTGGGTTGTATATAACGATGTCAATTGCAAGAGATGAGATGAGCCGCCTCAAAGCATTTCAAAAGCAGATTTCAAACTGAATATCTGTTTAAATGTCAACTGTATGTGGCTTATTTGTGACATGATATTTCATTTAAAAGGCATGTTGCTTATAAAATATTTCTTCATTCTTAGTTGGTAAAATAGATACAAAAACTCAAAATATTTTAGATAAAGACTTCAGAATTTTTGTTAAATTAAAAAAATTGAACATTCATTATTTTGAATTTTAATATTTGTTTTCCGGTGTACAATAAATTGTCATGAACTCAACGTTTCACTAGTTTATTGCAAAGTTCAATCAACAAAGTTGTTTTTTATATACGAAAACAGTAAATATTATTTATAAATGAAAAGATATCCTCAACACAAAATCATATACAGCTGATTTTGAGTGAATCATTGTTCCAAATGTGGTCGCATCCAAACGTCACGTTAAACGAGTAACTAAATTAACAAGACTGCCGAAGAGAAAGGATTGGCTACAAAGACCGTAAAAGAACTAGTACTTAAACTAACTAACTGTTGTGTTGCGTGCAATAGAGAAACATTGATAAAACCCAAACTTTAAAAAATGAACTCAAAATATTAAGTTTTCAAATGTATTTTAAATCGATTTCTTTTTCAATAACTCCTGTATAATAAAAAGCAGTTTTGAAAAAAGACACCATGTTTTCAACAAAAATTCTAAAACCCTGTCCCACAAGTTTAAAACATGAAGTAATTGTTTAATATATTAAGAATATTAAATACATTAATTTAATTAAATTTAATTAAATTGCAGTAATTAAATTGCATTGATATATTATTTTAAATTTGTAATAATTCTCAAAGAATTTTTTACATTTAAACCTGAAAATCTTTGCATTAAGTAAGATAATATTCTTATTTATTTAAATAACATGCAGATTATGAAACTGTATTAATTTTTTTTGTACAGAGTTTGTTTAAAGTTGAAAATTTAAAACTTTACATCCAGCTGATGTGATCTTCTGGATGAGAATATTTTCATTTGGATCATCAAATACCACGGGGTGAGAGTTGAGAAGGTTGTTACAAAGTTTCCTGGAATCGCTCCAAATGTTTTTAGCCGCCTGGTAACTGTAGCATTTGTGGTCCTCGATGAAGTAGTTGAAATTCTTCGGACAAGCTGCGTTCGAGTGCAGTTAAATTATTAAAAAATTATTTGTGTTTTTTTATTTTTAATAAACATAAAATAAAAAAAAACACAAATTCACCATGGGTGACAAAAGCCAGACATCCTCCAGACAGATCAGTAGTTACGTTATACAAGACGTTCCTCTTTGGAAGACAAGAACAAGATCCAACTGATGTCATGTAGTTGATGCCTCTCAAGTTCATCTTGGTTACTATCTATTTAACAGTTTAATGAATCAATATTAATATAAAATTACTAAAATAGCTTTAACTTTAAAAAAAATCCGAGATGAATATATACAATGTTGTTCAATAGTCTACCAACTTTTTAAAATTTACTAAATGGGGTTTTATTGTATCGTGAAAATAGCAGCCTATTGTATAAAACGTTAAAAAATTATACAATTATTGCAATCGTCGGATTACCATTTGGAAAGTTTTTTGTTCATTTGTAACAATTTTCTCAAACAAAAAAAAATTTTTAAATATTCCGATTGTGTTGGCTGTTCATAAAACTAAAAAGTTTTGTCTTTTTGCATGCAACACAAATTAAACTAATATCTTAAAATTGTAAAAAATAATAAACCCGTTACTCTGCCTCTCTTTCTCTCTTTCTCTTTCTTTTTCTATAGTCCTTAATTCTTTCCTTCTTTCTCTCCTCTCTTTTCCTCTCATTTCTCTTCTCTCTCTCTCTCTCTCTCTCTCTCTCTCTCTCTAAGTGCATGTGTTTAATAAAATCTAATAAAATCATGGATATATATATATATATATATATATATATATATATATATATATACATGAATAGAATGCTCTTTTAAAAACATATTTTAAAAACATATTTTAAAAACATATTTGCAAAGAATTATTTGATCGATGGCTATATTCATTCCCAAAAAAAAGTTGTGCTCGCTCCATTGTTAAACATTTTTGTTGAACATCCTTGCTAGGAACACTTTTGCGAGAGAAAATTTATCTGAAAAGTTTCCTGAAAATTAAACGGATAAGAAATGTTTTTAATGAAAATATTTTTCAACATTGAAAGCAACACTAAGTAGAAAATATTATGAATTTTTAAGTTTTGATATGAAATGAATGACAATGTTTTAAGAAATTTTTTCGTTTTATGTCACCCAATGCTGCATTATATTTAGCTAGCATTTCATGACTGACAAACGCAACAGCTATTTATCGCGACGCATGATTTATTTGTTTGCAAAATGCTTTTTCTATAAGATATACTTAGTATCATTAAGTTAGTATCATTATTAACTTAGTATTATTAACTTAGTATCAATAAGTTAGTATCATTAATAACTAAGTATTATTAACTTAGTATTTATCAATAAGTTAGTATCATTAAGTTGGTGTCATTAAGTTTAAAGATACAAGTCATTGTAAATTGTGAACGTTCCTTCGAACGTTATCTTTAAAATTATTTGATATAATTCATTCATTCGTTGAGTAAATTTGGAAGTTTTTCAATTTTAAAAGTAAATATAAGCAAAAATACTGGATCTCAAAATGTGGCTGATTGTGGTTTTTATTTGGATTACATTATTTTTATCGTCTTCTGTCTGCTTGACAGCTGGGATAGTTGCCACAAAGTTTCAAATGATAGGAGAGTCAAACAAGCCCATGTGTTTTGTTTCTGCACCTACCAAAGCACTGACTAACATACGTTCCTTACTGGAGTGTTCTACCAAGTGTTCTAATTATATATCTCCCGTTGATAATAGATTCATATGCAACGCATTCAACTACATATCCAATAACGCTAATGATCCAGTTAAACATTGCCAATTGTTTCATTTCAACTGTGAATTTGAATTCAAAATGGCTTCTAACATTTCCAACTGTCAAGCTTACAAGGCTAGTTACATTTTTTAATAAAAGCTGAATTATTGTGAAACATTCTGCTAAACGAAGTTTAAATTAACTTAACGTTAACATTTTGAGTTATTAAAATATAGGACGACGCAACTGGGAAAGCTTCATGTTAGTACAATTTGTTTCCGTTCAAAACTTTAATTTTTAACATTTACTTTTTTGAATAACATTATTAATTTTATGACCTCATGTCCAAGTTAAATCTATAAATTTGACAAGTGGCTAACAGCATATAACAAAATAAAAGAATTCACCATTACCTTTCATGAAGATTTCCAAATAAATGAAGTTTTGAAACTGACTGTGGACAACGAGTTAAGAGAATTTTACGTAAACGGACTCAACATAGCTGTGGTACCAGCAACCTTCCCGCACGCTCGTCAATGGAACGTAGCCGATGCATACAAGCTGACCTGCAGAATGCTCTATGTTCTTGCAATCAAAGCCTGGAATAATGCCTATATTGGTTAAAATTTTAACTCAATTTGTTGAAAAGAGAAACCATTGTCAATAATTTTTCTCGCATACAATTTATTCAAGACGGCTTTGCTAAAGAAAATTGTTTAATGGCACGCCAAATTGTACATTCGAATGATTGATTGATCACAGGTGGCTTGATAGCCAGCACGCCAAACGACTACATACTGACCAACGATACTTGGAAATGCACAAAAAATTATTACATTAACTGGTACAAGACCAGTTATAATGATTCACACTGGCCTACTGCTCACTATGGCGAGGCACAAGGTGACTCCTCCATTAACCCTCTATTCTCTTCCAGTGCTAAGTGGATCATCGATCCGACTGACTGCCTGAATTGCATCTTTTACTGTAGGAAGACATTCAACAGCAAGTTTTTTTACTTATGTTGTTTAAACTTTGAATAAATGTACGCAATTCTACACACAATTCTAATGATTTGTTCATCTCAGGTCCTTGAAATGAGTAGTTGCCACAAAATATGAAAGGTGACTGCGGAGCACATTTCGCTAACAAATTGTTCTTCTCAATTTTAATTTGTCGTCTTCTGTGATAATGTTAGAAATACGTACTTTTTAGAATCAAAATTTAATTTTTAATTACATCCAATTTTAAAGAAAATTTTCAATTTTTAAGAACGTTGAAAACATCATTAACATGTGTTAGTACATTATATTTTAGAATTTTACATATTTAACCATTGCCGCCGGCACTCTGCTGTAATGTACTGTACGTATTCTGATCAATTTTAATGCACCATGTATCAAATACTCTAAACATTCAATGCAAATTCATCAACGTATTCAAAGGTGATTGATATTGTCGTTTATATATTAAAAAGCATTTTGCGCAAGAAGAGCTATTATTTAAGGACATGTCAAAAATATCAAAAACCAAATCAAATTATTCTGAAAAGAACCCATCTCTGAAAAATATGCTGAAGTGAGTGCAAAACTCAAGTAACACGCCTCATTATAGGCGAATTCGAACTTTTGCGCTGGGGTTGATTTTTAAGATTCTAGAATATAGAATTGTCAAAAAAATGTTATAATTTATTTAAAATAACAAACCATATAAAACCATCGCATGAAAAAGCAATATCGACCAATGTTCACATGGTCTTTAAAATATTAAGTCATTCCTCCCCAACCTAACACAATTGATTGGAACGGACGGTTGGTGAAGAAAAGAAAAATGAAAAAACCATAGAAATTATAAATTTAAACTTTGTCAAACATTTGATGAAATGCTATACAAAAGATTAAGTAAAATAAAATTCATAATGAAGCGAAGATTAGTATTAGTAGCAATAGGTAATAGGTAGTAGTAGCAGTAGTAGTAGTAGCAGTAGCAGTAGTAGTAGTAGCAGTAGTAGTAGTAGTAGTAGCAGTAGTAGTAGCAGTAGTAGTAGTAGTACTAGTAGTAGTAGTAGTAGTAGTACTAGTAGTAGTAGTAGTAGTAGTAGTAGTAGTAGTAGTAGTAGTAGTAGTAGTAGTAGTAGTAGTAGTAGTAGCAGTAGTAGTAGTAGCAGTAGTAGTAGTAGTATTAGTAATAGCGGTAGTAAGAGTAGTAGTAGTGCAGTAGTTTTTGTTGCAGGCAGCGGTAGCAATAAAAGTGGCCACAGTAGCAGAGATAAAAGTAGTAGTAGTAGTAAGATATACTGCGGTTCGGACTGACAAAAAGAGCCAGTATTATAACAGTATTTTTATAAATAAAATAATTATACAATCAATTATTTGCTTGATAGATACGAATAAGTAAAGGCTGAATCACCTTAAATTATTAATTAATTGATAAAATTAAATAATAAAATAAAGGCCATAAAATTAAGTCTCCATATTTTATAACTTAATGTAACTGGTTTTCCATAATTTCTGAAACATTTTGTTGCTAAAAGTTTGTCGAAAACGTTTCATACGTTTGTGTGTGTTTTTAAAAAAATTAAAAAACCCTCTGAAATTGATTGTTTCATTTTTTATAATTTAATTCGTATTATTGGTAAAAATAAATTTTAATATCATTATTATTAAAATTGAATTGAATGTATGAACTTAAAATAATAAATATATCTGAAACAATTTCCATCTGGACCTAATCTAATCTGAAGAAAAACTCACAAAAAAAAAATGGGACAGCATCAGATGAAAAGTGCGGTGCCTAACTCCGTGTCGGTCATTTCAGAGAACCTGTTTAGGCATGCCAACGAGCTGAAGCAGACGACCATGTACAGTTATGAAAGTTTTGTTGAGTCCATCTCCATTCTAAATACGATGTATGTCAAAGAAAGTGTCACACTTAGTGTATGTCAAACACAAAATGTATTTGTAATTTCAGTAATGTCCTAATGCATAATCTAGTGCTTAATCTAATGAATGTCTGTCTGTCTAATCTACTAATCTTAATCAATGTAATGTGTAATCTAATTTAGTATGATACAATCATAATTTGAATGTAATTTAAAATAAATATATTGTAATGGTTATGTTGTTGCAATTGTAACAATCAGAACAGAAGTTTTTAAAGATTTCTGATTCTCTGTTTGCAATAGAATAGAATAATTGATAGAAATAGAATAGATTTATTTTATTTTATTCAATTTTTATGAAAAAATCAATTGTAGATGGCATTCTATTACTATAAAATAAAAGTTTTCAAATACTATTATAAATTTTTAAATATTCAATCTAGAAGAAGTATATCACCACTAAAATGATACGATCAAAATTTTTAAAAAATGATGTTGTTTTCACTAAATAATTTAATCATTAAATAATCTAGCCAACAGCTAATGTTAATTTAAATTTTGAACTGGACAGCACGCAAGGGTTTGACGACGGCACAGGCAAGAAATTGATCTTCTGCATAAAGGACGGAACCGACACCTCTGTCTTTTGGAGAGGTCTCGTCAGGGTCAAGTGTCACAAGGTCAAAATCTTACAATATCTTACAATACCAAATACTACCATACTATGCAGTACAAAGTAATCCTTCGTTAATTAATACAATATAATGCCACTAGTGATGAATAATGATTCTTATTTGTAAATATTTTCAAAAAAACATCAGGTGAACAGTCAAACTGGGGTGATAGAAACGGTGAGACTACTAAATCTCAAACAGTACATCCACCTCTATAACGAAATTCTCAGCGTACAAGCTGAAAAAAATACCAACTCAACTAACAACGATGATGCCGTGGTTCGTGATTCGCCAGTCGATCCTCCATTCGAGCAATCAAATTTTTGCACGGGTGGGGCTAACTCGCTTGATGCGTCAATCATCATTGACAGGTAAACAGTGCAACAATGTTCAGTATTTGCTTTTTATTTCAATTTTTGCATTGTTGAAGTATATGCATTAATTCATTTTAAATGTCGAGTTTACTTTTAACATATCTTAGTTTCACATGCATCCACTAACCATTCCAACCACTAATCACCCTCAAAGATTAGATGAAGCTAGAAGGAAACAAAAAAAAAAAAGCTTCCCAGCAAGAAAAGAGGGCGCTTTTAAAGAGGAAGAAGAAGATGATGATGATGACGATGATGGTCACGATAGAGATCATCATCATCATCATGGTTATGATGATGATGATGATGGTGAGATGGAATGCGTCATATGCATGGATAGGAAAGCACAAATAATTCTACCATGCCTCCATCAATACTGTGAACAATGCATCGATGAATGGTCGGTTGGTTGGCTGGCTAGTTGGTTGGTCAGTTGGCAGGTTGATTGGTATTGGTTGTATTTATAGATAAGCTGTTGATTGGTGGATATTTTTAACATATTAGTTAGGATTAGTTGTTGTTACGTATCATTTCACCATCACTGAGAACACCTATCGACCTTAACATTTTAACTTTTCACCAACAATTAACCTTCACCACAAAACAACCTTGACCTTCGCAGGCAGGACACCCACCACAGCTGTCCAGTATGCAGGGCCTCTGTGGACACGTCTGAAGACGCCTGGGTCCTGTCTGAGAAACCAGACGAACAGGAAGTTGATGAGCAGACGACTCGATCGATCATGCAACTGGTTGATAGTTTCCCGCCAGATCGGGACGACGATCCTGACTATTCGACCGGATGATCGAGTTTCTTTTGTCGATCGATTGATTGGGAATGTGAATCTTATAATATTATATACGTTTTTTGTATGTTGAAGTGTATATGGCTTCATCCTACACGCCATAAAATATCACGTTTGGCCAGTTCAAGAGGGGGACGACAAATGTAAATAGAATATTTTACTCGTGTATTTATTTCTCACTTTTTGCATCAGCAGTTTATGTGAGGCTTATTGGAAAAACTGCGATTTATATACTCGATTATTATGTTGTGTTTGTACGTTGTTGTCTGTTTATTCATGGTGATTTCTTATTGTTTATGTTCTTTATGATGATTTTGTTTGTTCGTTCATGTTTTTTTGGTTTACGTAAAGGTTTTCTTAGCTGTGCGAACAGCTGTCATTCATCTGCCTGCCTGCTCCTTCTGTCTATCACCTGCTGCTTTTCCTTTCCTCGTTTTTTTCCTTTTTCAACTCAGCGATTGTTTTTCTGGCGATTGCATATTTTTGTTCCAGTAAACAGTTTTGTATGTGATTATGATTTTGAAAATTCTTGTTGTCTCTATTCACGTGTGTACAAATTCAGAATGCTTTTACGTTTCGTTTCGTTTAGACTCTTTTATTGTTAATTTCTCATCTCATTTCTATTTGTACAGTGGACAAATTTAATTAACTTATTTATTATCACTTCTGCAAAAATAAAGAATCTGCACCAATGCCTGAAAGGTTTGGAATGTAATGAAATTGAGAACCGGTGAAAAACTGAATTTTAGTACAGGGATTGAACTATAGCCGCAAACAATCATCTGAAGCAATTTAATGATTTGCTGTTTTGAATTCGGTTAATGTATCGCGTCAGATCTGCAGCTCTAGTCCAACATATTATGAAGGTTTTTACCTCGTCTTTATGAAATGCTGCTACCATCCGCACAGAATAAATGTTGGAAAATATTGACCGCAAATTGAAATTTTAACGTTCTTTTGGACATATTTGCAACAAAAAATCAGTTGTGAAACTAGCTTGCAATTCTTAGGTCTTTAGAAAGCCAAAAATTATGCTTTTCTCTAGGGCCACCTGGTAATCCTGACATAACCAGGGTGCTAAAAAGAATTTCCAAGGTCTTTAAAGCACTATTCGGCTCAACGCATCATTCAATTGGAGTTTTTGACCTCCCAATTTTATAGCCTGCAATCACGGATATATATAAATCCGTATTTTATATCCATGCCTGCAATCAAAAATGCGGATTGAAGAAAGACCTAAGAGGTTCTGGTTCTAGTTGGTACATTCTACAATGACTGAGTGAATATTGCATCTGTAAAGTTTATCTTTTCGTATTTTTGGACTATTTTATCGAAACGTTTAATTAAACTGATTGAATGTTTTATTTATTTATTTAAATAATCGTTAAGTCTAACTAGAAACAATTCAATGCATCTGTAATGTTTTTAAGAAAATAAAGTCCAGACCGTGTAACTTTAATCTTATGTATTCATCGCAGAAATAAATAACTAAAATATCTAGACGAAGAAGTTTTCAACAACAAAAAATTATTATAAAGTTTATTATAAATTGTTATAAATTAAAAAAATTAACAATAAATGCTAACTAATAAAAAGAAAACTAAATAAACAGCGTCCATTTATTTATTCATTCATTAATTAGTGTATTCATTCATTCGTTCAACCATTTATCCATTCGTTCATTTATTCATTCATGTATTAATAATGAATGAAATAAATGAATGAACGTAAGAATGAATGAGTGGATAATGAGTGTACGAACGATTGAGTGAATGAGTGTACGAATGAGTGAGTGAATGAGTGAGGCAGGCACTTATTGTGCATTTTGTACGACTTATTCATTGAAATGCTGAGATCACATGTTCAATGTATCATCCCTCGCACCTCTTGGCTTATCTGTTTCTGCGCCAATAAATAAAAAAAAGTGAATACAAATTGTTTCGTTCATCTCAAACCAGCAATAAATAATTAATTAAATAACCAATTAATTACTCAATCAATCAGTCACTCAATTACTTATCAATTATTCAATCAATTAGCGTTGAGAGAATACAAAGATAAGTGTGGAACAGTGCAACAGCAGTTAATATAGACTGACTCACGGCAACTCAAACGTCTCGTGACAACTTTAACGAAGAATTTGTTAAGGGATAGTACATGGGAGGAATTAATTATAAAGCAAAGTAAACCTCGGACAAGGTACGTCGATATGTCCATGTTCAAATCATCTGTGTTTTGATTGTGAGTTGTTGTTGTTGTGGTGTTGTTGTTTGTGTTGATATTTGGGTTGTTGTTTTGCTGTCGCTGTTGTTGTTGTTGTTGTTGTTGCTATTTTTCCGACTATTTTTATTTGTTATATTTACTTTTTTTTTTATCAACATCATGATGATGAATTGATCGGGGAATCAATAAATGAATGAATGAAAGAAATCAAGCAAGCAAGCCACAAATTATTGAATCAAACAAGTAACCAACTATCCAACGAACCAACCAGCCAACCGTCCGATAAACAAACCAACTATCCAACCAAAAATCTATCTAACCAATCAATCAGCCAACCAACCAACCAACCAGCCAACCAACCAACAAACTATCCAACCAACCAACCAGCTAACCAACCAACCAACAAACAAACTATCCAACCAATAAGCTATCCAACCAACTAGCTATCCAACCAATCAGCCAACCAACCAACCAACATACTTCTCGGATCGACAAGACTGGCATCATGCGCCATATGTCTTGTTGACTTGAAGATGCGATCCTTGGGAACAAAGATGGACTGTGTGATCTCACTGTGGCCACTATCTGGCATGAAATAATGACTCATGCTTTTCGAGCCTCCAATCTGGCGTTTGGTGGCGAGGTGTGGTTGTCGTCGTCGGTGGTTTGGTGGTGGTGAAGTTGTTGTTGGTTGTGGTGGTTTGTTGGTGAAATGTCGTTGGAGGTTATAATCATTTTCAGTATCATCGTTATCATTAGTTTCCTTATCAGCAGTAACATCATCCTCATCATCATCACCATCAACAAAATTGTCATCACCATCAGGACCACCACCACCACCATCATCATCATCATCAGCAACGTCATCATCATCATCATCAGCACCTTGAAATGAGACTGAGATGAAGCTGACCTGCTGACCTTGTAAACATTCAAGAACTTGGATGCCGTCGTCAATCCCATCTGTCCGTTGAGTAGACATCATCATCATCATCATCATCATCATCACATCATTGTTATTATGATTATTATTATTATTATTATTATTTTTTATTATGATGAATATTATTTTTATTATTATTGTTCGCTCGTCATACAGCATCATTGATTGCGTGTAAAACTCCGTGAAATTTTCTTGAATACATATTTTCATTCATCCTACACTCGACCACCCAACCACACATCCACACAAGCACCACTCCTCTCTCTCCCCTCTACAATGATTTGATGTTTAAATCTCAGAATAATTTAGATCAGTATTTTATTCGTTTTGGATTTTGGAAAATAAAAGAGTTTACATTATTGTTGTTGTTGTTGTTATTATTGCGAACATAATCATCACCACCTAGAAGAGAGCAGAATGGTGCACTGCGCATAGAAAGCCAAATTTAAGAGGCGGCCAAACGATCATTCAGTAAAGAAAATAAAAAACTCACTCACACATTTACTCCCTCACTCACACGCTCAACTCACACACACTCAACTCACTCTCTAACTCACACACTCAATTCACTCACTCACACACTCAACTCACTCAATCACTTCTCACTCACTCCCTCACTCACACATTCACTTCCTCACTCTCTTACTCACTCACTAACTTCATCAAACTTGTTGATGGCGAACTCAGACAGTTCGTCATTCCTGTACATAACCTTGAAGAACTGCTGTAGTGCCAACTCGTTCAACTTCTCTAATGTCAATAACTCTATCTCTAAAAGTTTCTGTTGATGTTGTTAACGATGTTGATGATGTTGTTGACGATGTTGTTTGATGATGTTGTTGACGATGTTGTTGATGTTGTTGTTGACGATGTTGATGATGATGTTGCTGGTGATGTTGTTGACGATGTTGATGATGATGTTGTTGACGATGTTGTTGATGGTGATGTTGTTGACGATGTTGATGATGATGTTGTTGACGATGTTGTTGTTGATGATGTTGTTGATGTTGATGGTGATGTTGTTGACGATGTTGTTGACGATGTTGTTGTTGGTGATGTTGTTGACGATGTTGATGATGATGTTGTTGATGTTATTGTTGGTGATGTTGTTGACAATGTTGATGATTATACATACAAACTACTGAAAATTGTTCGTTTCCAAAGTGTTGCAGTATATTTTGGATAACATTTTCACTTTAGAGGCGGAAAAACAGCAAAAAAATGTTGCTTCAAGTTTCTAATATGACAAAAAATCATCAAAAGGAGAATAAAAGCGCCAACGAAACTGGCTAGCAAATACCAAGTTTGCTAACTTGCATAATGATACTAAACTAATTAACCACAATAAGTTAACAAAGACGTGGTAAAACATACATACTCCCATTTAAACAAAAGAAACGGCTTTAAGAAACCAGTAGATATATAACTACTTAACTGTAAATACTCAAAAATACATTGTAATTTTAAAGAGAACTCGAGTGGACTTTGATTGTTAGGCGGGGAAAAGACACACGAACTTGAAAACGTTTCTGCCAAACGATGAACACAAAACTCGGAGATATGATAATTAAAAAAGTGAATGGCGCCGAAAGGAACCACCTTCGAAATTTGCTGGTTGGAGGGGTGCGTGGCGCTCTTGTAATTCATCTGAAACTGTGGTGATGGTGATTTGGAATGATGATGATGATGATGATGTTGATGATGATGATGACGATGATGATGATGACGACGACTGTGATAATGATGAAGTTGACGATTATGATGATGATGATGGTGTTGACAATTATGATGATGATGATGATGATGACGACGACTGTGATAATGATGAAGTTGACGATTATGATGATGATGATAATGATGATGAAGTTGACGATTATGATGATGATGGAGGTGATGATGACGATTATGATGATGATGATAATGATGATGATTACAATGATGATGATGGTGATTTTGGACTGCAAAACAAAACATATAAAAGATTTAAATCCTTATAAGTTTTATATTTCGC